CTGCCCCAAACTAGCTAACTGAAGCCAAGAACGGGGCCCCCAATCAGGGCCTTTTCCCTACAGCTTGAGCATGAGAATGGGGAGCTCAGGCAGACAGGGGCTGTTTCAGCTGCAATGCTGAAGATTTGAGGGGCACAGTTCAGGGTCCCCCAATCTCCCAGCCCAGGGACCCAAGTCCCAGGCACTGCGGGCAGATTGAGGGCCACGAGACATTTTCTGCGCTTCCCAGGGGACTGGCCCAGCTAAAGCAAAGCAGTCACCCGCCTTCTGTGTGACCTTGAGCCACTGCTCACCCTCTCTGGACTTCAGGGGTTCCCAGCACCGCGCCAGGGTGGGGTGAGGGTGACCAGATGATCTAGGTGGAATCTTCAGCCCTGTCCCAGCCAAGGTCCGTCTGGGGTGGAGTGAGGCTCAGTGCACTCTCCCCCATCCCAACACAGCGCCACTCCGTGCCCCCCACCCCGCCGAGGGCCCAGAGACACCCCTCGCGTACCCCTCCCTCCCTGGGGTACCTGTTCCGGGGATCTGCACTGAGCACACCGCCGCGGCCCGAGCAGCTCAGCGCCGGCCCATGGACTCAGTCGCAGCGGCCGTCCCCAGAGACGCTGCCATCTGCGGTCGCCTGGGTGCTGGAGGCAGAGGATAGGCGAGGCCAGGACCCCACGCGGGAGAGTTTCCCAGGCTCAGGGCCTCCTGCGGGGCCAGGAAGGGTCAGTCCTGGGCTGGCCAGCACCCTGGTAGCTCTTGCTGCCCATCAGAGACCCTGCTCTCTGCCCCCAGCCCCAGGATGGCAGGAGGCGGAACCTGTCTCAGCCAATCAGCAGCCTGGCAGAGCAAGGGCTTTATCCTCCGTTGCCCTGGCAACCAGCCTTCGCCTCTGGATCCTCCACACTGTGCAAGTGGTACAGAAATGATAGGGCAGGGGGGCAGGAATTTGGAGGGATGGCGCCACCCGGCAGGCAGTGGGGCCATCGGGCTCGTGGGCCTGGACACAAGGGAACCCCGCTAACAGCACGGGGGGGTGGGGAGGAGTTGGAAGCTTGCCCTTGGAGGGGGAGGCTGGGGTCCTTGGCAAGAAGGGGGACCGGGAGGCAGTGACAGGAGAGTCAGGGAGGGTCATTTATAGAGGGGAGCCCCAAGTCTGAGCCTGCGGCTCCGGACCTGCAGGTCCGATGTGTCCTAAGTGTGCAGACGCTGCTCACGTCCATCAGCTCGTTTATTCTCATCCAAGGTCATGGCGGGAACATCATGGCAGGGCCCGGTCAGAGCCCCACTGCCCCATGCAGTCCTGTCTCACCAACCCTGTGACCCCTCTTCTGGGCCTGAGAGGGTCCACGGCTCCCAGGCACTGTGCTCCCCCACATGCCAGGCGTGTCCCATATCACTTTATTGAGTTCCCTAGCCGGGGTAATGGGGACCCCACTGTGGAATGAGGCAGCTGTGGTCCAGAGAGGTCCCTCAGCTCCTCAGTGACAAAGTCGGGGGGAGGGTGGGGGCGGGGCCCCCTCCTGTGCAGAGAGGGCATCTGCACCGTGGTGGTGCCCACCGACAGCCATAGTCACTGTCTTCTGGGGAGAGCAGCGCCAGGCCCACGCGGTTCCCAGAACCAGCTCTCCTGGGAGTCGGTTCCCAGAGACGTAATCAGCGGGTGGGAAAGGCTCTCAGTAAAATGACCTCAGGGCCGGGTCCCAACAGACACTGTCAGCTCTAGGCCATGTTGGGGTCCCCATGAAGGCAGCACATGCTTGCACTCCTGTGTCCGCCTCGGGGAACAGCGGGGACAGTCGCTGGACGCTCCTGGCCCTGCACCCCAGTGTGCGGACCTGGTCACGGCCGAGGCCTGTGGGCGGCTTCCAGGCTGGCCGCCATGACCGGGCTGCCAGCCTGCTTCTCATGCTGCCGAGGGAGCCGAGTAGGAGGCACAGGGTCCTGGGGCAGATGCTGGTTAGCCTGATGGTGGAGGCAGGCTCCTACGTGTGCCTCAAAGCCTATGGCATTGGCCACTTAACTGTGCACTTTATTCTAAGTCATCGAGGCCCCAATATGTTTTTAAAACGTGATGGTCAGGGCTCTGCCTGGTGGCGCGACGGGTTGAAGCACAGAAGGTTGAAGCTGTCTGCAGCCCCTACAGCACAAATTCGATCCCCGGCCAGGCAAGTGACCCACAGGGCGCAGCAGACCCCTCCCGTCTCCCCGCTGCTCCGTCAGCAGTGGGTTTCATGTACCTGTTCTGCTCCCCACTGTCTCTGGTGAACCTCTCACCCCTGCACCTCTGGCCTGCACCCCAGCTCTTGTACGCAGAAATAAGTCTCTAAAAATGAAAAAACAAAAGCTAAGTTGATCAACAATGTCTGATCTGAGGGTGGGCCCTTGGGGCTCCCCTAGGAAAGACTGAGTGGCCACCGGAGATAGCTGGGCGGATGTGAATCACTCCACTCCTTCGGCAAATTATTGAGCAACTACTGTGTACCCGGCCCCTTAAAGTGCTGGATCTACAAACTGACTGTCTCCATCCTCATGCGTCTTACACCCTAGATGACCTCATCAGCAGGGCCACGGGCCCTGAGCACACCAGCTGGCTCTTATGGGTGCACAAAAACAAAACTGGACCCTGACGAATTGACTGGTCCTCTCTCAGGGTTTGCAGCAGGCAACCTTGAGGGATGTGGTGAACTTCCTTGGGCACAAGACGACCCCACTCACCACAGGGGGGTTCTAGTCTCTGCCCCCTCCTGTGCCACCACCGATGGCGGGGACAGGCCCCTCTTCTTCACACACATAAATACATCTTTAAAAAAAAAAAACAACTCAGGTCCTTGCTCCACTCCACTGCACATCCACTCCCTCCCTGAGCAAGCCTGTGGGCTCACAAAGGACAGGCATGGCCTCTGCGGCACGTGGGGGACACGGGATATCGACACAGACACGAGCCCACATGCCCGGCTACCGCTCCCGAGTCACACAGGAGCTCCTGTCCTCCCCCAGCACCCAGGAGACAGTAGCTGATGGTACTAAACAGTAGCAGTTGTATGACCTCCACTTAGCTCAGATAAAGTCAAGGCCTCAGACACTGCTGGAAGTGGAAGTTACTGAGAAAACAGCAGGAGGCGAGAGCACGCAGGGACTGGGGCTTGCTGTTGAGACAGGCGTGAAGGAAAGTTCCCCTGACATACAGAAGCCAGCAGTGTGACTATCTGGGAGGCAGGGTCTCTGGGGACCTGGGGCAGGGATTTGTGAGGCACAGCGAGGGCCCTTGGTTGGAGGAGGGGTGGGGGAGAGAAGGCAGGTGAAGTCAGGGCAGGGGCCAGCGCCCACAGTGCCCCACCCCCGGCCACGGAGGGCACCAGGTGTGGGCCCAGGAACCTCTGGCTTCAAGCAGAGGACGGCCTGCTCCCACTTCTGCTTTTCAAGGGTGGCTCAGAAGGCTGGGGGTGCTGGGGGCGCCGGGGGGGGGGGCTGCCGGTGGCCCTGGGGACCAGAGAGGAAGACAGTCCTGGTGGTCTCCGGTGGAGGTGGTGAGAAGGGGTCGGCTTCTGAGGTTTGCAGACGAGACCCCCAGGCTCGCTCCGGGGTGGTGTGGGCGTGAACAAGAGGGCGGAGCAGGCAGGCGCCGAGGGCTAGTTCCCGGGCAGCCGCTAGGATGGAGTGGACAGAGGGAGAAGACCCGGCAGGGCAGACTTGGAAGGAATGGCGAGGACAGGGTGAGTGCGCACGAACGAACGCCTCCCTCACACCTTCTTTCTCCGAGGGAAACAAAATCCAGGTCCCGCCTGCTGTACTTGAACCGCCTGCAGCCCCCAAACGAAAACGCTGACCGCGCGGCGGCGGCTCCTTTAAGAGGGCCCCGCCCGCTGGCGAAGCCCCGCCCCCGCGGTCACGCGTCCGGGGCGGCGCAGCAGGGGCGGGCCTCTGGGCGTTTTGAAAGCCTGGCGCGCACGCTAGAGCGACGGTTCGGCCGGCGCCTGGCATGGCGGTGCTGCGGCCCCTGGACAAGCTGCCCAGCCTGAACACGGCCACCATCCTGGTAGGCGCCCGTGGCCCCGCCCCCCCGCCCGCCGTCCTCCTTGCCTGCGCCCAGCGGCTCGGTCCTCCGCTCTGAGGTGCTCCCGGGCGTTCAGTAGCCGGTTGTGGTGGGCGGGAGAGCCTCGCTCTGAGCCAATCGGAGCAGCCTCGCGCTGAGGCTGAAGGACGCTTCCACCAATAGCTGCGCGGCGGACTGCCTCCCACGTTCTGATTGGTGGGCGGCTGCAGCCGGCGCGGTGTGGGGCTGAGTTCCGCGCGGGACGGTGCTGGCTTTCCCCGCGTGGCGGAGTGGGGCCTCCCGGGACGCGGCCCACGGGGCGGGGCGGGCTGGGCGGGTGCCGATCGGCCCTCGGCCGGTGCCGGGAGCGGCAGTCTGTTCTCGACCAGCCCCCTGCGCGCGGAGCGGGAATCCCGGTGCGTTGACCCTGCAGCCCCCCAGAGGCACAGCTGTCCCGCCGTCCGCCCTGTGCTTGCTCTCTCCCGGCAGCTGGTGGGCGCTGAGGATGCGCCTCTGCAGCAGCTGGCCGATTCGATGCTCAAGGAGGACTGTAGCTCCGAGCTGAAGATGTAAGTAGCTGAGACCAGGGGTCTGATGGCCGAGCGGTGGTCTGAAGTCCAGGCTGGCCGGAGAGCAGAAGAGCGCGCTGGACACTCCACTGGGTGGGAAGCGTGGCAACCCGCGGAGTGTCCAGCGTCCAAGCGCGATCTGCCCTCGCCCACACGGCGGGTGTGACTTGTTCAGCTTTCTTCTAGCGCTTGTCCCTGGGAGAAATTCCTTGTTCACCTGTTTCCAGTCACCTGACCCCTGGGCCACAAGGTCAGCCTTTGAGGCCAGTCAGCTGGATCCCCCGTGCCTGGAGCCCTTACCTGATGTTTACAATACCCTCCCACCCACCCAGTTTGAAGAATAGTTTGTTTTCCTTTGAGAACTGAAGGCCACAGGGTAGAAACAGCTGTTGGAGACAGTCAAGGAACTGAACATGTGGGTTTCACTCTCACTGGTAGAAAGATGAGCCCCAGGGGTCCATGGTGAAGGAGAACCTCAAACCCTAGAGGGCATTTCTCCATGCCCCCACTTCTCAGGGGTGAGCGGCAGCCCGGTGCGGCACTGGGGAGAATCCCTCCAAATGGAGCTTTGTCACTCTGCCTGCTCTGCTCCCCACTCTGTCTCTGCTGAATCCGCCACCCTGATATCTCTGGCCTGTACCCCAGTTTTTGTATACATAAATCTTTTAAAAATTAATAACCAATTTAAGTTGCATCAGAGTAAATGGGAAATGTGGACAAAATTGCCCACGTGGAACTTAAGCAGGGAAAGAAGCGTCATGAAATTGTTGCCAAAAAAGAGCAAGTTACCTGCTGTCCAAAACCTGACGAAGGTCCACTCTGGGGCGATACAGAAAGGGAAGGGCTTCCTTGTATTTTGTGCCACCGAGCAGTTTAGTAACATGAATTTTTAAAAGAAGCATTCAAAGACCAAATGATAAACCTACAGAAAAGGAAATATCACAGAGCTAAGGGCAAAAGGAGCTGAGAATGCCAGGTAAGATGTGGCTGATAAGTACTTACAGGATACACGGTCAAGAACTTACAAAGAAGAAAGACTTGGAAAAATTACAGCAAAAGTGTGCAAAGAAGCATCAGAAGAAAACTTTCCTAAAATGAACGAAGAGTTGAATTTGTCCGTTAACAAAAGACATCTTCTTACTCCTTAGAATACTTTATTCTAAGTGGTGACCGAGGGCCCTCCCTGGTGGCACAGTGGGTGAAAGCGCAGTCCTGTGAAGCTGTCCATAGTGTGACTTCAATTCCCGGCCAGGGGGACCCCCGGGGCGCAGCAGACCTCTCCTGACCCACCGGCTGCTCCCCTCAGCAGTGTTTCAGTCAGTCAGCCTGTTCAGTCCCCACTCTGTCTCCGGGGAGCCCTCACCCTCTGCACCTCTGGCCTGTACCCCAGTTCTGTCTGCATAAATAATCTTTAAAAACAAAAACACCGAAGTTATACCTAGTTAAGTTGTTGAATTTCAAGGGTAAATACTTCTTCAGGCTTTGGGGCAGCGGAAGCAAACCGCCTGACAGGGACCCCGGTGCCTTCCTTTGCCAGTGTTCCCAGCGCGTCTGGGTGGCAGCAGACTGGCATTTCCCCCCTTTTGTTAGGAGCCATGTGACGAGTTCTGGCCAGTGAGCAAATCCAGCTGTTTCCGGCGATGCAGTTAATTGCCAGTTAGACCCTGCTCAGTGCCCCTCCCTCTCCCGGGTCAGCTGCTGCTGTGATGGGGTGTGGATGGCTCGAGCCTGCAACTGCTTGTTTTTCAGCCACGTGGCAAAGTCTCTCCCACTGCCCTCCAATGTGAACCGGCCCCGGATTGACCTGATTGTGTTTGTGATCAACCTTCACAGCAAATACAGGTGAGCACCAGAGGACAGGCACCGTGGGGCACAGGGTCACTGGCTGGGGGGCTCTGTGGATGGCCACCTCCCTCGTAATGAGGAGAGGGCTGCCTGGGGTTGACCTGAGGCTGGCGGGGGAAGCCAGTGGCCAAGACACAGAAATCCCGCGTGTCGTGTCCACCCTTGTCGTGTGGTCTCTTGGGCCACCTGGGCCCCTGGCAGCAGCACAGACCCATCCGCAGGGTGTGCCCGCCCACTGGGAGAGAGACTTGGCTTTTGAGCAGTGGCGGGTCCTGGGCTGTGAGAGCCCAATGGGCTCGGTCAGCGCAGACTTTGTAATGGTGACTTCTAAGCCCCCGAGAAAGGAGTGAGCCGGCGAAGGGTTAGCTGGGCGCGGGAGGAACACCTGTGTTTGGAGACGGGACTGTGCGGTCAGGACCCCTGGAGCTGGGCGGCAGCAAGGAGCATCCCTGAGAGAGGAGGCCTGTTTCTTTCCAGTTAAGCTCCCTTGTAATTAATGACAATATAAGATGAGGCCCCAGCGTTCCTCCCGGCTGCTTCCGGTCACCCTCGGTGCCCTGGGTGAGGAGCGGGGCTTCTGCGTCCTCCGCTGTAAGGTTTGTCCTCTGCTTGGTGTTCACGCCGGCCCGGCCACCCCAGCCTGCAGAACGTGGAGGAGTCTCTGCGCCACGTGGACGCCCCCTTCTTCCTGGGGAAGGTGATCTTCCTGGTCACAGGCGGTGAGTCCCCCCCGCCCCCAGGGCAGTGTGGCCTCGGGGGGTGGATGGCAGCTGCCCTCCACCAGGGTGTCTGAGTCACCCACCCTGGGGCTGAGCCAGCCGAGCAGGCGCCTGGCCCAGTACCACTCTGTGTCTGTAACACGCTGCTGGCCGGCGATGGACGCTGCGTTGTCGCCCGCGCTCTCAGAGCCGGGGGCTCTCCCCTCGCCGAAGAGAGGGTGGAGCAGGATCGCCACGGAGTCAGCCCAGAGGGGGCACCAGCTTCGCCCAGCGTGTCCTGGGCCGAGCCCCCGCGTGGGCCTGACTCTCGGGGTGCTCCCTTGCAGCCGCGCGGGACACACACTGCAGCGTGCACCGGAGCACCGCGGAGAAGCTGGCCCACACCTACCGCAGCCCCCTGCTCTCCTGTGACCTGGAGGTGAGGCCCTGGCGGGGCGCAGCGCTGCGGCCTCCTCTCCTCTCTTACCTGTAGTGGACTGTCCAGTCGTCTGCTCGCCACTTACCTGCGCAGAGTGCAGTTCTGCGCATGGCCGCGAGGTGGCGGGCCACACCAGGGCCTGAGAACGCTCCTCAGAAAAGGCCGCGCGAAGCGCCTGCTGGGAGAGCCGTCTGTCCTCGCGGCCCTGTGTCCTTTCCATGCTTCACTGGTGGAGTTTGAGCCTTGGCGTGGTCTGAGCCGCTTACAGCTGCGGAAACGCACCCTGGATGTGGGGTGTTCACAGGGCGCACCAACAGCAGCAGGCGGGAGGGCTGCGTGGCCACTTTGCCTGCTCTGCCCCGCTGCCCCTGGGGCGGTCTGGAGATGGGGTCTGGCTGTCAGCTGCCGCTGGACAGGGCGGCGAGGGAGCAGGCGTGGGAGGAGAGCCCAGGCGGGCGGGCACGTCCCCCTCAGACAGAGTGGGGAGCGGCTGGGGCCAGCAGATGGGCAGAGAAGCAGGGCTGAGAGCCACCTGGGGTGTAATGCCCAGGGGTCAGAGCAGATGACACCCTGGTTTCTGGGTGGGCGGGTGTCCCCCAACCCCCTCACACTTCGAGGGTACCAGAAGGGGTGTGCTTAAAGCCCCGCCGGCCAGAAGGCCATCTGGTGGGGACCGAACCCTCCTTCAGCTCCAGGGCCATGCGTCTGCCAGCACTGGCTGGGCCAGCGCCCTGGGCCAGCTTTGGCCTTGACCTACCTTGTCCCCAGCAGCCCTCACAAGGCCCGATGAAGGAGCTGTTTGTGGGCGACATCTTCTCCCTGTCCACTCCTCATCTCCATCGTGCCCCTCACGCCCACGCCAGGGCACTCTGAGGCCCATGCTCAGGCTGGTCCCAGCCTGGGTCACATCCCGGCCCTTCAGTCACCACGCCGGTGACTGGTCAGTTGGTCTAACCTCACCGGCCCTGCACTGGGCCCTCCTTCCCCTGAGCATGGGTGGGTGACTGGAGCTTACCGGGGGGCCGGGAAGCAGCCGTGGTGGTGGGTGGTGCGCTCTGCTGACCCCAAGCCTCTGACCTCACCAGCTCCACGCGGGGAGCGGAGCTGGCTCTGCCAGCGGCCTCACCGCCGCCCCTGCGCTTCTGTGCAGACGGAGCCCTTCCGAGCCGCCGCGGCGCAGCGCCTGGTGCGCCTGCTGCAGGTCTGCGCTGGCCACGTGCCCGGCCTCTCGGCCCTGAGCCTGCTGTCGCTGCTGAGGGGCGCCGAGAGCTCCCCGCCGGAGGACCTGTGACAGCGCGGAGGCCCGGCCCGCCTGCCCACCCTTGGGCGCCTGACAGGCTGGCCAGGCCCTTCGGCTCCCTGCGGGGCCCAGACTCCCCGCGCCCCTGGCAGTGCTGGTGGGAGCCCAGCCGGTGGGCGGACCCAGCTGGGGGAGCCGGCCCCCCACCCCCACACTCACGTCCTCACCCCTCTGACGTCTTACAGCTCCACAGCACGAAGACTTCACTTAAACAAAGGCTCCGTGGCTAAAAAAAGTTTGAAAATCACGGGTCTCACCAGTTTGATTTTGCAGACGAGGAAACTGACTCAGACCATTACGAGGGGTGGGGAGCCCTGGACGCTGCACCCCGCGCTGCCCCTCCTGGAGGCTGGTGCTGCCCCCGGGCCGCCTCCCTCCCCAGGGTAGGCTGCAGCCGGCTCTGCCCCCGCGGCCGAGCACAGGCCCGGGTTGGCGCCAAGGCCTCTGCGCTCGCTGCGGCGAGCTGGCCCAGGCCGGGCAGCCGGCGCAGTCCACACAGCTCCCTGCTGCCCCGAACCTCGAGAAGCGGCAGCAGGGCAGGGCCGGCCTCGGGCGGGCAGCTGGACACCCTGCGGGGCGGCTTCCCCTCCTCTGGGTCTAAGGGAAACTGGAAGGGCCCCAGTGGCGTCCGAAACCCTGTCGGCCGGGTCGTGGCCGGGGCGTCGCAAAGCGACCCGGTCTGGCTCCCCCACCCTCCTGTGCCGGCGCCTGCCCTCGCCCCCAGGACCACCCCTCCCCAGGCCTGGCAGTGCCCGCATGCGCGGCTGGGGCTCCTGCCGTCACAGGGGTGCGGCCTGCCCCGTCCCTCCCACCAGTCCCTTCCAGGCCAGCCCAGACCCACTCCTGGTGCCTCCACGGGGCAGCCCCGGGCCCACCGAGAACCCCAGCTGCGTGGGTTCCGGTGGAGCCCACAGGCGCCGGCCTCCGCGGAGCTCACGCCCCAGCAGCTCCTCGGCTCAGCGCTCCTGCCGCCCCAGCGGGCCCTGGGGTCCCCTGTGTTTCCCCATTTCACAGCTACCGAACTCCAAGGCCTGTGTCCAGACTGCACGGGTGGGTGGTCAGGGCGGCTCCAACCCCTCGGCCAGTTCTTTGCCAGGCCCTGCCCAGGGAACCGGAAGTGGCCGGCGGCAGCCTGGCCCCAGGGAGCAGCCTTCTGAGGGAGCCGGGGAGGCGCTGCGCCCCCCTCAGGACAGGCCGGGCCAGCTGGGAGCAGCACCGCTGGCGGCAGGCGGGTATTCCAAGGCTGGGTGGGAGGTCGTGGAGGCTCTGAGGCAGGGGCCGAGGCCTAGAAAGCAGCATCGTCTCAGCCCCTCAGGGGCCCAAGCCCAAGGGGCTGGCAGGAGGAGGGGGCTCCTGAGGCAGTGAGCCGCCCGCCCATGTCTCCCGCTCCCTCTCAGCCTGGCAATCTGGCCTGGTAATCTCACCTGAGGGTGACTGCCCTTTTATCCGCCCCTGCCGGGCCCAGGTGCCGCCCCTGCCGCCCTCTCCCTGCGGGCAGGTCCACAATCACGGGAGGGCCAGGCCAGGCGTGGGTGGCGCCCCGGAGTGGTCGCTCGTCTCCCCCACAGGGCCGCGGCCCAGGCGGGCAGGGCAGCGAGGACAGCTGGCTCCTGGCATGTCCCTGCACGGGGCAGGAGCGCCCTCCCCCAGCCTCCGCACGCTCCTCTCCCGCCCTGTGCCACGGTTTCTGTGCCACCTGGTGCCATTTAACAAGAGCGGTGGCACCGCCGCCTCCAGCCAAGGCTCTGGGAGCCGCCCAAGAGCTGGGGGCACGGTGCTGTCACTGCTGCCAGCTCCCGCGACTCGGGGCCTGGAGCCCAGAGGCTGCCCCCGCCCCCCGCCGCTGAGGCGCCCCAGATGGCGGCCCGTGGGGAGGAGGCTGCTCTGCGCCTGGCCGGCTGTCCAGCGGAAGACCAGGCCCCGTGTCCCCGCAGAGCCCGTGTGGGGTGCAGGGGAGGGGGAGCTGTGCCCCGCTGCCGATGACCGCAGGGCCTCGGGGCACTCGCCGCTGCGAGCCTGTTTCCTCGCCTCAGAATGGCGGCACTGACGCTCGCCCCGCTGGCTGCGAGCCTGAGGTGAAGCCACTGTGTGAACAAGACCTCGCTGCCCACACAGCCTTGGGCCTCGGGCCACCCTGCGGTCAGTGGGGGCTGCAGGTCCGAGTGCGGCGCCCGAGGCTAGTGAGAAGCCCCTTCTGCCCAGCCTGTGCCCCTCGGCGGTGGAAGGGGCGGGCCTGGGGGAGGTCCAGGGCTGCCAGAGGCTGGCTCGGGCCTCCCAGTGGTGGAGCCCTGGGACCCACCTAGGGGAGCTTATGTTTTCCCGGGGAGAGGTGGTTCTGGCCCAACCTGATGGTACTTCTAGTCCCTGCCAAGGCAGGACCTTCCCTGCAAGAGGGGCGCGTTCCCCATCACCCCTCAGCAACAGCGAGCGCGGCCCCGGGCTGTGGCTGAGGCAGAAGCCGGCTGGCCGCAGAGGGGACATGGTGCGGTGCTGAAGGGCCTGGCTGGCCTCCAAGTCCCACTGACGGGTCTGTGGCCACCCTGCGGTGTGACCTGGGCCACCTCACTTCTGCCCCCAGCCCATGACTACCTGGAGACACTTGTGAGGCCCGGACAAGCTCCTCACTGCATGTGGACTCTGCCTGACCCCCAGGGGGATCGTGAGCACCTCCCCACGCCCTGGGGGCTGCGCCTGTTGGTTTAGCCCTTCCCCCAGTCCCCTGGGCTCTGAGGTTTCAGGCAGCGTCACTGTGAGTGACTTCTCAGCCCCCAGGGGCCTAGGAGGCACCAGGGGAGGAGTCGGGCCGCCCCCAAGCCTGTCAGTCTGCCTGTGTGTGACTCATGAACTGGGGTTCCTGTGAACCAGCTGGGAGAGGAAAGGTGGGTGGGAGGCCCCCAGCACCCTAACCTGTAGCAAAGGCAGCCTTCCTCGAGCGCCCTCTTGCCTCAGAGGAGTGCCAAAGGCATGTGGGGGGCCCTTGGCACTAACCTCTAGTGCTTGCCTGGTCTGGTTCAAAATATGTCTGCAAAGCCAGCCCCAGGGGGTCACCCCCACACACGTGGGCCCTACTATGCTCAGCGTGAGCTGGTGGATGGCTGGACCCGACCCCCCGCCCACCGTCTGCCCGCAGGAGGGGACCCCACACGTGTCCCCGGAGAGCTCAGAATCAGGGGGCCACTGCTTGTCCCTTATCCTCCTGAGCTCTTTGAAAAGTGGGGGGCTCACTGCCCCTCCCCCACAGGGTTGAGGCACAGGGTGCAGGACAGGGCAGGGGTGAGAGGTGAGGGTCGGAGCCCACAACGCTGGCATCCGGTTGCTGTGCTCTCTGCGGGCTTGTCCGCCCCTCCGCTGACATCCTCGGGACCCCTCTGCACCGGTCACTGGGCCACGCCCGACTCCCTGGCACCCTTCCCGCCTGGAGTCTTCTCCCCGGGGCTTCTCCCCTGTGAAACGCTTCACGGCGTGGCTTGCCACCCCGGCTCCCCAGAGCCTAGAGCAGCACCTGGCACAGACCACTGCCCCTGTGGCTGAGTGGACGGGCACGCAGGGCCAAGCCTGGGGGGCCTCACTCTCTGACCAGCGCTCTCGGGGCTCTGGCGTGCGAGCCTGTTCGGGTATTACTCACCTCGGACAAACAGGCAGTTTTTAAGCAGGGAGAGGTCCCCAGAGGCTTCCACTCCCAGAGCCGGGGAACTGCGCCTCTGGCCCAGCACTGCTCCTGCACCCCGGTCCGGCCACACAGGCCCCTCTTTCCCTCACCGGGCCGCAGGAGTGTGAGGGCGCAGCCGTGGGCGGGGGGCTACGCACAGACCCCGCCCTCCGCCAGGCAGGCTCATCTTTGCCCTCCAGGCCTTGCTGCCCGTCTGCAAAACGGGGTCTCAGCAGCCTCTGTGTTGACTCCTGGGGGGCGGGGGCAAAGCTCAAGGGAGGCCCCCTTTTCCTGACAGACCCCAAATTCATCATAAGAGAAAACGTCTCCATCAGCGGCGAGTGGAAGCTTGAGAAGGCGGAGCAGGGTTCAGGGCAAGGCCTGATTTCCGGCCAGGAGCAGGAGTGGGGCCGGCAGCTATTAAGGGAAGGAGGAACACGTGGGGGCCCCGCCCCTGCCTCCTCCCTCATGGCCTAGTCACAGGTGACTGGAGCAGGTGGAGGGAGCAGTAAGGAACTCACTCCGAACTCACTCCGAACTCACTCCGAGGTTCACAGCGAGAGGCCAGAGGGCCAGAGGGCCAGAGGGCCTCCCTGGTGCCCACTGAAGCGCAGCGCTATGAAGCTCTCTGCAGCCGCTGCAGCACGAGTTCCATCCGCACCCCAAGGGGACCGCATGGCCGGCAGACCTCTCCTGACCCCCTCAGCAGTGGACTTAGTCATCCGGCCTGTTCTGCCCCCCGCTCTGTCTCTGGTGAAGCCTCTCACCGCCCCTGCCCCTCTGGCCTGTACCCCAGCTCTGTGTGCACGAATAAATCTTTTTTTAAAAAAGTGAGAGAAAGGCTATGGTGAGAACTAGACACCCCCATCTCAGTGACGTGTCCAGCGGCTGAGTTACCAGGCAGACCCAGGCGTCTCCCCGGCCCCGGAAGGCCCCGGAAGGCCCCGGAAGGCCCCGGCAGGCAGGAGGGGAAAGGTCTGTCTGGGCTGCACCTGTGGCCCTGCACACGGCCCTGGGGCCTTCTGCTGGTGTGGCCCTGGCACCTGCCCCCATGGGCCCACAGGGGCCCCCAATAAGCCATTTGTGTTAAATTATTAACTGCCTCTCCCCACAGTGGCTGTGATGGGTGCCCCAGCTCTCCCCTCAAACTCGGGGCCCTGAGGTCCTGCCTCTGCTCTGTGGGGTCACAGCACTCTCGGTGACAGGGAAGCCTGCATGTGGCTCCTGCGAGTGAGCTCAGGCCTGGCCCATCCGCCACCTCCCCAGGACAGCCCCCCCCCCCGGCCCCGTAAGCTCTGAGCTGAAGTCCGGTGCGAGGGACAGCCCAGAGCCTGGTCTTTGGGACAGGCGCAGAGGCCCTGAGGGTCACGACCCAGCACACAGGTTGGATCCGACCTAGTCCCCCAGCAGCCCCTCCCAGCCCCAGAGGCCCCTCTGCCTGCCCCCCCCAGCCCTCCCCCAACGCCCACACTCGCCCACACCCGCCACCCAGACCCACTTCTCTCTTGCAGCTGCCCCACCGCCTACACCTTCCTGCCGCGGAGTCGCTGGCCCGTGGGCAGGGCAGGGAGAGGCGGTGGGCAGGGGCTCCCAAGGGCAGAGACACGGGCCCTGTGAGAGCCCTGGGCAACCCATGCCAGAAACTTGGGGCCGGCTTTGCACCCCCCCACCCCCAATCCTCCAAGGCCAGTGGCATCACTTTCCCCTGAAAAACTGCTGACAGCCCCGCACTGGCCCCAGGCGCCCTGGCCGACTAGCTGTTCCACACACAGTCCAGCCTCCAGGGTCTCAGCAGCCAGAGTGGGGGGCCCTCCAAGGTAGCACGAGGAACCTCCCCGTGCGAACTCCTTGGGGCTCCCCACTGGCCAGGCCCGCCGCTGGGGGCCCTTCCCATCTCCAGCCCTTGCATTGGCCAGTCTGCCCCGGAAGGCTTCCCTCCAGCCGCTGCGCGAGCTCTGCTGACCCCATCCCACCTCGGTGCACCCCAGCCAGCTCCTCCCTCCTCCTTGCCCCCAGGTTAAGGGCTCAGAGGCCCGGGGTGGCCCCATGAGGACTAAGCCCAGGCCCCATGCTCCCAGCCCGGCCCCCAGTGAGCAGCACCGTCAAGGAAGCCGGAGGGGCTTATGCCTGCGAGCTGCGCATGCGCTTAGCCTCCCTGGGGCCAGAGGGGGGCCGGACATGGCTGGGGTGGGAGTCAGGGCGGCGGCCGGCGGCTTGGGCTGTCCATTCGCCTGTTAACTGAAGTCCTCCTGCTGGAGACTGAGCGGCTCCTCACCCACCGGCCTGCGCCCCCTACTCCAACCCGAGGTTCCCGTTAGCACACAGATCTGACGTGACGCTCCCTGGTGAAGCCCTGCGAGGCTGCCCGGGGTCCTCAGCCCTCAGCCCAAGGCCCAGCTCGGCCCGGGCCCAGCACTCCCTGGCCTCCTATGTGGGCCGGAGGCCTTGGCCGGCCCTGGGCCTCCCCTAGCACCCCGAACTTCCGACAGGTTCCTTCCCGTCTTCAGGGAACCTTGCCTGCACGGATGCTGGGCACGGATGCTCCCCACTAGCGCCCCCCCCTTCAGTGTTGGGTGGACTAAGCCTGGGACTGGCGGGGGGCGGGAGGCGAGATGCCGGGGCTACGGGTTGGCTTTGGGAAGCAGAACAGAAGTGGCCACCCAGCAGTGGGGTACCGACCTCTGCTGCCTAGGAGCAGGCCCGGGGGGACCAGCCAGTCCCCGCCGCACAGAGGACCTGCGGGGCGACTGGGTGACGGTTGAGTGGTCCGATGGAGGAACCACAGGTAGAGAGAGAAGATGGGGGGCAGGCCCCGGGGGCGCCCGAGAGGGTCCCACCCCAGTGGGCAGGAGGGCGGGGCGCCTGCCCGAGGCCCCGCCCCGTTTCCTGCCGGGCCCTGGGTGGCGGCGCGCCAGACCCAGTCCCAGCAGGCCGGGCGACAGTGGCAGCATGAGACTGAGACAAGGGCCCGGACACCCGGGGGGCCGGGACGGGCCGGCCCCCCCGCCGTGCCAGGAGCCCCAGTGCTTCGACCTGCTGGTCCGGGGCTGCGTGAGCTGCAGCCTCCTCCGGACGCCCCAGCCCAAACCCGGTAAGAGCCAAGCCGAGCCCAGGGCCGCGCTGGGCTGGGGACCCCAAGCCTGCCCCCCTGTCCCGCCGCGGGAGGGGGGCCGGGAGGGGGCCGGTGACCACCGTGGCCCTCACCGTCCCGCGCCCCATGTCCGCCCCGCCCCGCTGTCCCCTCCCCGGCCAGCCTCGCCTCCCTCCGACCCTCCCCTCCCCGCGCCCTCCCTCCCCTGCGCCCCCTGCTCCCCGTCCCTGTCCCCTCCGCCAGCAGCCGGCGAGAGCAGCCAGGCGCCCTGGACAGCGCTGCAGCCGCTGGGGTCGGTGGGCTCGGGCGCGGCGGAGCCCGAGGTGGCGCTGCGGCTGCCGGCGCTGCTCTTCGGCGCCCCCGTGGGGCTGGGCCTGGCGCTGGCCCTGGTCCTGCTGGGGCTGCTGAGCTGGCGGTGGCGGCGGCGGCCGCTGCTGAGCCGCGCAGCCTCCACGGAGGCGCGGGACACCCAGCAGGACGGTAAGACCCGGCCTGGGAGCCAGGCCCAAGGCGGGGCGGGTCCCGGGGTGCGCACAGTGTGGGCGGCCGCCAGAGAGCGGGCTCAGGGGGTGGCGCAGGCCGGGGAGGAGCGCCCGCCCCCCTCCGCCAGCAGGGGCGGGGACTGCTCAGACCCCAGTGGCAGTGAGGGACCGCGGGGTGGGGTGCGGTGGGGTGCCGCACTCGGTCAGCCGCCCCCCTCCCTGCCAGTCCCCTTAGCACTTCCTGCCCCAGGCCCCTCCCCATGCCTCCTGGGGCTTCTGGACAGACTGCCCTAGAGGTGGGAGGGCGGCACCCTCCCCCCAGGGCTGGGCCTGGAGAAGGCTCAGCCCCAGCCTCTATCCCACCCCACTCCAGAGCTCCTGGAAAACATCGTCATTGTGGCCCCTGGGTCCCCGGAAGACCCAGCTCCCACCTCGCCTCCACCCAGAGACGACCCAGCCACCACCCTGCCGGCCCACAGCGTCCCTGTGCCAGCCACAGAGCTGGGCTCCACGGAGCTGGTGACCACCAAGACAGCTGGCCCCGAGCCGCAGTAGGGACCAGCGGGCAGGGAGGCTGACTCGGCACCGCCCTCCAGCGCCCACCCACCTGCCCACTGCTGGAAGCGGGGCTGTCCCCTGCCTCGGCCTGCAGAGCTACAGGCCACAGACGTCAGCTGGCCTGGTGCCATAGGGCATGCCCGCGGGTGCCTGCAAACTGCCCCCTCGGGCAGCCCCCGGAGGCTGGACCCCTGGCGGCTGCGGGCTGGGGCACCGAGGAGGAGGCTTCCCTTTCAGGGTGGGGAAGCCCCCTTTAAGCAGATCAGGTGGGAGGAAGCTGCACTGGCAGCTGTGCTGTGTCTAATAGCTGCTCCGGACCTGCTCTGCCCCTGGCCTCTGCCCACAGCGCCGGGCCCCGTTGGGTGGGTTTGCTCTGGGATTTTCCATGATGACTGGACTGTGTCAGCCTGAGCCCGGCCCCCTTACTGCAAGGCCATTTCCACTCCGGTGGCAACTTCCAGCGCCTCGGCACGCTCGGCGGAGGGCATCCACAGCGGCTGGGGCTGGGCTGCAAGCCCCTGCGGGACATCGCCAGTGACCACCGGGAGTCCCGGCTGCTGGCCAGGCACATGTGGCTGTCCACAGGGCTGGGCCCAGGACCCGCAGGGGGCTCCTTTGTACAGAGGTCTGAGGTCTGGACCCGGTTGGACTGGAAGCTCCTGGAGCCCCCTCCCTTTTCTGGGCCCTGAGTGCTGGGGTTCCCCGGCTATTCTGTGCCAGCACCCGGGGACTCCCCATCACAGTGAGACTGCTTCTCTGACCACCGCGCCTCTTGCTTGGGGACCCGGAGTGAGACCACCTCGGCCACGATGGGTCCAGGCGGCCTGCACCAGACTAGATCTCCAGACCCAGGCTGTGCCCTGGAGAGCATCCTTGGAACTTGTTGGAAGGAGCACTGGGCTGGGGTCAGAAGACGGGGCTCAGGGTAGGGTAGGGTTCTGTCCCACCGGGGGGCCTCAGCTGTGCGCTACCCCAGCCTCAGACCTCAGACGCTCTCCACCCACCTCCCCTTGACCTGCCCATCAGAGCTACCCACCGCGCCCAGCTCAGAAGAGGGCCTTCTCCAGCTCCCTGCTCGAGGCCTCTGCAGCTGCCCTGCAGCCGCCGGACAAGACTCACCCCACCCAGTCCCCTCAGCCACGCGCCCGTCCCAGCGCTGATGCCCCTCCCACCCACAGCACCAGCCACCCGTGTGGTGTGGTCAGCTGTGGCAGGGGCCCTGTCCCGAAAGACTGGGTCATCTCCCCCTCACTCTGGGGCGGGGGACGGAGCCGTGACCTGCCACCCATCTCGTTGCCATCGCCGGAAGCTGGGCCCTCCCTGGTGGTGAAATGAGTGGGCGAAACTCCTCTGGGCCCAGACATGCAAAGCGCTGGTGCCACCGTGTCCTGCTGCCCTGCTCCTTTTCTGAAGCATGCAGTGCAGGATGCCCCGTCCTCCTGGACAGGGGCCCTCGGGGGGGGGGGTGAGTAAGTGCATCTACTGCCTCATCTTGACACTTTGCAGGGCTCAGGACAGCGGCCCAGGACGGAGCATGGAGACGCCAGCCCTAAATGGCCACCCCAGCACGCACAGGGCTTCCCGCTTCTAGTCAAAAATTTGTAGCTTGGCCAGCACCTTTGGTGTGTTTTCCTTCTTTAACACTGGGCAAGCGAAGTTTCCCACATCTGGTTTTGTGTTTTACTGCTGTAACTGACGGAGCACCCAGAGTGTGGCCACAGAAAGCCTCGTCCTTTTAGAGGTCGCCTGGCGGCCTAGGGGCTGTCTCTGCACTATCACCTGAGCTTGACAGGGCAGCAGGCCTCTCCTGGTCCCCACTGACCCTCAGCAGTGTGTTTCCGTAGAACTGCCTGTTCTGCTCCCCACTCTGTCCCTGGTGAATCCTCTCACCCCCTCCCCACACCTCGGGCCTGTACCCCAGTTCTTCTACAATAAATAAATCTTTAAAAAGAAAAAAAAAAGGCCCCCGTTGGCTGAACTCTTGCCAGGAAACCTGAGCCCGATGTGTCTGTGAGCAGCGCATGATGGCCCACTTCGTAGGAAGGAAAAGAGAGGCCTGACAGGGCCTACATTCGCGGTGGAGCTGGGCCAGACCCAGGCTCCCGCCCCGCCCCCCCCCAAAGGTCATGGGCCAGGCACCCTCACTGCTGACTGCAGTATAGACTCCAGATTCCACTTGTGGTCCAGATGTCTCTCCCACTGGGGCCTTTGTGCTCTGAGAAGGTGCCAGACTAGATTCTGAGGAACTTCTCATTGGGCTGGGGTCCGAGCCCGCTCCCCCAAGCCTGTGTATCTGGCCAGTCTTCCCTGAAGAGGGGTCTGGTTTCCTGGGCCCCCTGGGCATGGCAGGTGGGGGTGGGGCAGGCTGAGGTCTCGGTTCCTCCTCCGACTTCCTGCAGGCACCTTTCACTTCCTTCTGGGCAGAGTGGGGGCTGGGAGGCCTGGGGGGGAATGGAGGAAGGGCCTGGCCCCTTCTCTCCCTGGGTGGTCTCAGGGAGCGGTGCCTCCCAGCCTGTCCCTCCCCAGGGTGCCTGTCCCTCCCCAGGATGGCGCAATCTCCCACCTTGAAAATCTCCCACCTTGGAAGACTGGGTGTGGCAAGTAGGGATCCCTGAGGGTATGCTCCACCCCTTCCCCGGAACAGACACCCCGGGTCCAGAGTCCCCCTCAGAAAATCCCCCGCCAGTGAGTTCCAGAGCTGTTCCTACCCCATCACTCAGCCACTCCCTAGGGCTGCCAGCCTGTGGCAGGCCAGGGAATGCCCAAGGGTGTGTGTGAGTGAGGGCGAGAGCGAGATCCAGAGGCTTGTGAGTGAGGGCGAGAGCGAGATCCAGAGGCTAGGGAGAGCTGTGGGGAGGAGGAGCCCTGAGTCCTGAGGCAGCTTTCCTGCTGGGATGGGGCAGAGGAGGGTGTCCAGCCCAGAGACTGCAAGGGCGCAGAGAAGGTGGGCAGACCACAGCATCTGAGTGCCAGGACAGTGACCTGGCACTCAGGGGCACCCACCTGGGGCGTGCCACCCTTCTCTGGTCGTCTGAGAGGCCAACACAGCCCCCTTGGGTGACCCCTCCTGGGGACAGGGGGGAGGCTCAGATGAAGTGCTCCTGTGGGTGGCTCAGACCAGATTCTTCCTGGTGGCTGAAATCTGACCCCTTTCAGTCTGTGCCTGCTGCGGTCCTGCCCCTGGCCTGCCCAGGGTGGACAGTAGGTGTAGGAACTATGAGCTGAGCCAGGAGGACACAGATGCCCGCGCTCCTGGCTTAGGGCTTCCCAGGGACTGTGCTGGAGGAAGCTGCCAGAGGACGCCACACGGGTGCGGGCCCAGAGGGCATCGAGCATCTCCCGCCGCCCTGAGCTGTAGACAGCTGGAATCCAGCCCCAGGCGCCCTGCCAGATGCAGGACCGAGCCTGC